TTTTGAGCTTTTCTGTTACAGATTTTATGGAGCTGCGAGTCACTGGCATTCATCGTAAATCATCCTGTATATTCTTTGCATAATTGATTTCAATTGCATGTTATGTTTTGCTGACTTGATGAAAGTTCATTATTTCCGTTTGTTTTGAAAATATTCATATGAAATGTGAAACGAGTTGTTGAGGTTCAAAATTGTAATTTTAATTCTTCTTTTTCTTTTGTTCCTTTGTCCCATGTAGATTTAACGAATAGTTCAGCGTTCAAACCTTCAACAAGCAGCATCGCGACAGTAATATAAGGTTGATAAACTTCGCCATATCTTTAGCATGTCTAGGTAGTAGGCCGTCAGCGTTTTCTTATTGTCATTGATCTGTATTGATTTGTATTGATTATTCATTTGAACCTGATATCGGTTATTGCAACGGTTGCTTCGAATCTGGCTATTTGGTTACTATGATTTTTTGACTTTAATGACATGAACATTTGAATTTCCAACTAGAAAAGAGAAAGAAAAATTGAAAATCGTTCATTTCTGCATCTGGCCATCATTGAATGAACTCGTAGGTGGATGTCCGCTAAATCAAATTTCTAATCATCCACCATTTCTCGCGAAGAACATCTTATTAGAGGTAACTATTCAATTATTAAGAATATATATTTTTGATTTATAGAAATTATTATTTTTATGGAATTTGGTCCATATTCAAGGAAATTAATTTGTGAACTTTCATCATCTTGAGGTTACGTTATTATAACATGTTTTCTATTTTTCCTATGTTATAGTTCTGCCAGACTGTTATTTTACTGTTATTTTACTTACGTTTTACTTTTACTTTTGCTTTTACTTGTATCTTCAATTTTTGGATTTGAAAGATACTGTAACTATTTTGCTGATAAATGCTTTTTTCTGGACTCGAAAGAGTGAGCATTTCTTATGAGTATATGAAACATTCTTCCTGGAGAGATTGTCCTGGCTTTTGGAGCCGATTTATTGTTCCTGTTAACGCTGGGAAGCTATTGATGTAAATTTCAAGAAGATAGAGAAAATTTCCAACTTGTTGTCATAAATTCAACGTACTGGCTGGACTAAGCATACTTATAGGTCACCTGACGTCTCACCAGACTCGTATGCTCTCATGAAATCTGGAACCAGGAGCCCAAAATGATAATGAAATTGACCATGATGTAATTTGGAAGCTGGAAATATCAATAAGCTCTGGTCTAACTACATTTTCTGGCTTATTCACAGTCTTGCTGACATAAGGTATTCTCTGCATATTATATAGTACTCACTGATTGTTGAAACATTTATTATCAAATCTTTTATAATCTAAAATCAAATACAATTTGGAATCTAGTACAATTGAAAAGTCATTATTCAATATTCCTATATCTGTGAAGGTGAAATGCATTATATCTGGGGAATATTCCACTGATTTCGTTGATTAGATTTATTCAAACCCGATGATCATTGTGTCGATAAGTTTCACTGATAGGAGAACGTTTATTTAACACTCTGTATAATAAATATGCACACCTAGTTGCATTTCAGGCGCAGTCAAATTTATTTGTGACACATAGTATAAATGTTCGTGATGAAGATTTAATACTCCTTCGAATACCCTTTTTAGTCAGTAAATGAACCTACATTTTATTTGTTTGATTTGTTTTCCTATCCTTCAGCACAGACAATTTCTTTCTACAGGGATTGGCTTAAGAAAGAGGTTTGTTGAACTTTATTTTCTGTAGATGGCGTCCAAATAAAATCTTATCTGGTGGAACTATCTTTCTTATGCTAATTGTTATATTTTTGACAAAGTTACATGATATGGTAAGTAAATGAACCACGACCTATTTGCTTCGACTATATGAGCTGACCGTTCGCACAGTGTAACCTGGAATTTCTAAATTTCTCACGTTTAAGGGTTATATTGTTACGGTTGGATGAACCGCATAACTGATTTATCCCCGATTTTGTCAGAATTGGCATTCGATATTTATGTTGTGGATATCAATACACCATATTATAGTGCAGTATTTTCGTTTTGATCATGAAATCCTTCAAGATTCACAAACTTGCTTGATCTGTATATCATTCATTATTATAGTATCTGATTGATTGGATAACTTGTCTCAGAATAATCAAGGCCAGCAATACTTTTTTGTCTCACAAAACGATATTGGAGACCGAAGAGAAATAAATAATTGCTATTATGATTGTTAATATGCTCACTCACCAAACAATTTTCACTTCTTCTTCCTATACCTGGCACTAGCGCGGTATTTGCTAATAGGAGTGACAACTGATTCAGATGCATTCATCGATACATCGATTCAATAGAATACACAAATGGGTCACTCTGTGGTTGTATTCATATCGAAACTATAATTCGAACATCCCTGAGACTTGAATAAACCTGATCTGTAAATGCAGGTACAATGCAGGTAGAGTATTCACAGCACACGGATTACTTGTTGTATTGAAGTAAAGTGGTCTGAGGTCTTGCTTCTATCTACTGACTTATATGATTATAATAAGAGTATATTATTAATCTGTCAAGTCATATTGGTGGTTACTCCACATATTCATTATTATTAATTCTTCCGGTTGCAGAGAAAATAACATGTCCCATTCGGATAAAAAGTGACTTCTCCTCGAAGATTTCAATTAAGCTCGGCTTCGCTAGACACGCATATTCGCTTAGTCTCGCGAATGCAAAATATGCTTTGTCAAACAAAGTGTCACTCTAGATCCTGATAAAACAATATACTAATATTGTCATCAACTCTTATTGTTACTGTTCCATATCAGTTTATCGTTGCATATATCAGTCTATCGTGCTATGAGATATATGATTTATGATTCACCTCACCTACTTGTCTCACTAATGGTACCCACCAGACTGTTCAATTTCATTTTATATCAACTTTACAGTTCCAATAAACTATACCTAGAAGTTGATCACCACTTATCACATCTTTGAGATCCTTCTATTCATTTCCTTCGAGTCATAGGGTAGCCAATCTACGATAAAAGCCGAAGAAAAAATCGGCAGAGTGCAATGACGTGAAATGGGACATAAAGAACGCCTGATAGATATCTGGCAAGACAGACACAGATAACACAGATCTACTGTCAGCCTGATCGATGAAGGCGGTGACTGGATGAATGTGTGCGAAACAAAAACTGAACAGTCGATATTCGCCAGGGTAGAGCAATTGTTTATACCCTCCCTCATTAGGGTGGGTATTTCAGAGCCACTGTGTGAGCTACGAAATTTCGGTCCACGCCCGATTGAGTTGAAATTTCACCCTACTCGACAGTGTAAAATGGTAATTCATGAACCGATTCAATCAAATTTGTTATGAACATTCTCATTGTTATGAGAACTTGATGCAATATCTAGTTTGAGTTGTGAATTCACTCAAAAATTCCAATTAGTAAATTTACTCACAACCACATATTCATTCACTCAGAGGAATTTTCTACAGTGTAGATCCCTGAAAAAAAAAATGGGACATTTCGATACGAGTACGATCTGAAGCAATGAAAGTACCATTATATAGAGTCACTAGTGCATTATTAGGAATGTTTGCTATTGTTGATTTTTATTAGAACATTTGACTCAACAATAATAGTGATGATCATAATTTCAACTCAACGAGCAACTATAGACCTCAGTAATTCCTCGGTGTTGAATTTGTTTTCTCAGGAGGTAATAATATATTATGTGCTATTAACCCATTCAAGTTAATCCGGTCAGTTTTGAAAAAAGCTACTGTGTGTCGTGTGATTGAGAATTCTCTAGAAATCTCATCGTTTGTGTGGAGTTTTCCGCATGCATTATGGATTTCTATCAAGTAACGGCAGAGACAATCCAGAAAATTTGTTGAAAACTGTAATTTCGCATATGGTTGTGAAATAAAACAATAGTTGCTGTGTTTTTCAAATAATCTGTTTTTGTTTTTGGTCACGTGAAATTAGATTCGAAATCATTAACCTGTATATTCTGACATTTCTAAGTTCCTTCCTATAGAACGATTCCAACAATCTATCTCACTTATGGTCTGAAACGATAAATTCAAGAACTACAGGTACTGCAATATTCCATGTAACAAAGTTTTTGACTACGTTTTTAAATGAGATATGGATAATCATTGTTTTCATCATCACAGAACATGATAATCATGATAATATTTTTTTATCCTTTGAGACATTACAAAATGTATTGAACAAATCAAGCGAATACAAAATGGTTTGGAAATTGGAATTCATAATGAAATACACAGAATAAAATCGTTGCTCGGATACAGAAAGGCCCTGAACTTGAATAATTTTCTAATAATTGCTCGGTTCAGATATTCGTCGTAATCGTCGTGGAACAAAGAATATTGAATTATATGTAGTTCTTTTATCATTCGTTCTGGACCACAAGTGTGATAGTTTGTTGGAATCAATTCATAAAGAGAAACAAGGGAATTTTGAAATATAGAGGTTGTTCAATTCGGAAGCCCATTGGGTGAATTAATATCGAGAAATGATGTACCAATGGCTCAAATTCACAACCTCAGATTAACAGTCTTCAACTTCTACCGAGTTCTGAGATATTCCTATGTCTGAATCGTGGGACACCCTGTATAACCGTTGAAGCATTCTGAATCGTCATGAAGTAATTCTCGGGAAGAATATTTTCAAGGATTTCTATGATGTCGATGTTTTTTATAATAAACATGAGCAGGTATTATGTATACTCAATCAAGATTATTCATATGATTGAAATACAAAAACACATGTTTTCACATAAAAGTTTTGAACATTGCCAATGGAGAAGGAATTGGTTGGTTTTAATGGTATGTGGTATGAAGGTGAATGTTTTAATGTCGAAATTATTTTCACCTGAAAAACATGAATATTTTCATGAACATAACGAATGATGATCCGTACTGAATCGAGAATATGATGAACTATCGAACCATTGATGTAGAGCTATTCATACTCACATTCTGATACCAACTGTAACTATCTGGCAGAGGATTCGCTGAGGTCTTGCACTGCATAGTAATGTCAGTTCCTTCTTTGACAGGCGATTTCGAGGCTGGGTCCAGTTGTACCAGAATTTTTGGAGGGTCTGAAACAGTTTTTAAATGTATAATCCTTCAAGTTCAACTTGGGTAAGTGTTATTTCAAAGTGAGTCTGATTTTCAGGTAAGTGTGATTATTGAGTATTAAAGTGTGAATTTTCAGTTCAAAACAACAACAATGAAGTCATAAGAGTCCCATATCATCCCACACTTGATTGTTGAGATAGTATTGCAGAAGTGATCAAAGTACAGTGAGAACTACCCAGCAAACATGACATAGCTGGTGAATCAATGACCCATAGCTTTGATGGATGGCATACTGGTGGCATTATTTTCCGATGATGAGAAAGTACATGTCATTGCTGTTCCGATCATATAATACGTATGTTGCACTTCTTCGTGCTGCTGGAATAGGATATTTACTTTGGATTCATGAGATTCGAGATAAACAATATTTTAACAGCATTGGAAAATCAATGGGTATAATCTATTTCACTGAGATCATTGGAACAGTAGATACTGTTGAAACAATGAGAAAAGGATATAGACTCCTTATTGTTATAAAGTCATCAATGGAATGACAATGGACCATCAGCTTATCAGATGCATTTTATTGACATGTTTTTATCGACAATGGATAGTTCCATTATGTTTCTCCTATCCTTTTGCGCATGAGTCATTATTTATTATTGATGTGAAGTGACGTGAATGAATAGAAAGTTATACAAAGTGTATCATCATGCAATCTCATCGAATAGAGATAACGAATTTAATTGTTTGAACTGATTTTTTCTTCAAGAATATCTACCATGAAGTTTCAGTCCTAAGAGCAGTCTACATCTACCTCAGACTTCAGATTCGAGTCTTTGTTTCAACCCAACTATTGTTACAACAGGCTAGGTAATATCTTTGGTGATATGCATTTGTGATTTATGGGTCACTGAAAATTTACAAATAGTTCATCCTAGATACTAAGGGGGTGTTCCAAGTTTAGGCTATTTTCCAGATATTCCAGAATATACAGCACAAATCAACAGAGACGGAATTTGTGAACTCTATGCTGATTGACCAAATCAGATGTGATTATATGCCTTAAAACGATAAGATTCATTGAAATGTTCTATTCATAATACATAAGAATATACTAGGTACTTTTCTTCTGTGACGGAAGAAACCTCAGACATTTCATCTGTGTTGACGGGTTGAAAAATGTCATGTTCGTAGACATTACTTTTTCCCACGAGAGAGAGTGAGTACTTTTTTCTAGAGTATACATATAGGTGCACTGTTGATGACTCTTGTTATGCTAGTTCCGGAATATCAGCCGTCTCCGATGAAGAACTGAACGTCCTTCTATCTTCCTTTCCCCTTCGCGGTTTGTGATTCACTAAACAACCATTTAGTTCGCAATTTTTATTGAATCAAAACACAGAATTGGACTGAAAGATATTTGATGACTTCAAGGAAATGATAAAGATGCCAGCGAAAAAATGTAACGCAGGTGTAGTTCCTGTTGAAAACTTCAAAATTGACGCCGATTATTTTCTGATTTCGATAAAATTTACGCCGAGAGAAATTAAGTTATATAAGTCTCTATTCAAAAATATCCTTCAACTGCTAAATGGAACATTTGAACCACGAAATGTCTCTTGATGAATGTGAAAAGTTCCATATTTTGTTCATTCACCATCTTTGTCATACTCGTTCACCACACCGATTCATCTAACTCACTTATGAACACTTGTTCAATCAAAATCGTTAGTTGTCGACGGATACCTGATATGTAAGGAATATTAGCCCGCAGCAGCTCGTGAACCTTTTGTTTTGTTCGTATAGGTAAGTGAAGTGGTTGAAAGTTCTTCTAGATATTTGAGCGATATTTGTACATATATCTCCCAAGTATGGGATTTGTTGAGGAACTACAGGTAGTTGGACTAGATCAGGGCGTTATCGTTTCATTACGATAAATTGGTAATGTATCGGAAATTCTTCCAATTTGGATGAAATTTTGTATTTTTCCACTACCTCACTATCCACTATAGTAACAAGCGCTTGGATTCACATAGTTATATCGGTGATAGATTGTATTGCGTATGCGTATGTCCAAGATAAGAACATCGTGCGTACCTAAGGAGGATATAGAAAGAGGAGGTCAGTGTTGAAATTTTTATCGAACTCCTGGAACAAATGCATAAAAATTCATCCGGAACGGCAAGCAAATCTGTTATAAGCGTGGAACATCCAATATAGTCTGAGATCCAAAATATGGTCGTCATTCACTCATCTGCTCACTGGATTGAAATTATATATTATCAAATGAAATATGTTCCTGACCATGGTCCTATAGGGTTGCCATGAAAAATATGTTCATGGCTATGCTCAGTAAAATTAACCAAAATGATTTATATTCCAAATTTCACAGATTTGCTATTGCATACAACATATAAAATATATAACACCTCTGGTCCCTATTACCTGGTTGCCGTGTTCAAACAGGTAAGTCAATATTGATAATTGCACTCATATGTAACTAGGAAGATATTATTGGACATAGCCCTCACAAAGAGATAATTGTATACACGAGTTTTGGGCTTTCGGCCCTCATCAGTACGGTGGAAGAAAGTGCAAAGAATATGCAGCACTTGGTAGAAGACAAAATAACGAATAAATGGAGTCAGCAAACAGAGGCCAGAAACACATTTGTGGTTTCGTAATGATGAGTGCCTAAAGCCCGAAATACGTGTGTACGGTTATCTCCTTGTGAAAACTATGTCCAATAATCTCTTCCTTATAGTAACTATACAGTTCCCCGATATTTTTCCATCATGTTTGCACTCATATGCTCATCACTTGAGAAAAATATTGAAATAAAAACAATTAAATGACGAATACAGTAGTAGGTATGAGGTCGCTCTGCAAAATCCGTTCATGAATAACAGTTGCCATCAGGCTTTCAAACTGGAAAACTGGAGCAGGCAAGGACTTTTTTCTAGAGTGATTCACTTCACTTCTCACCTCAGTCCTCTCATGAGATAGAAGAGGATAACATATATTTCCAAAGACTCGTTCATTCAACGAACAGCGAGGCTCTGTTCCCCGAGGCATATAACCTCCAGAAATTTGAAAAGAACCCCAATTTCTTCCTCGATCATTTTCCATGGTTCCCACGATGTTCTCTGAACATTACAGGATATTTCTTTCCGTGGAATCCAGAACATAAAGGGTTAACTTGTTTTGTGGAAATATTGAGAATTTCGGAAAAGCGTTTCTTATGCATTTCAACTGATTTTGTGATGATTATGAAAAATGATCGTTTTCTGAAGGTAGCGTACCGGGAATTTAGACTTGAGTTTAGTGAGGTACAATTGAACAAAGATGTCATAGATATTGTTGGTAACCACTTCTCATGTCATAAAATAGTGACTGTCTCAGAGGAATCTTCAATGGAGATCTCAAGTAATTTACCAATATTATTAAAGTAAGAAGTAGATGATCAATTGCGGTTATGGAAGCTTTCATTGAAATTTTATCAAATCATCATTCATAAAAAGCTCATCTGAAGAGGATATCTAGACGAGTGATTCGAAAATTGACTACTTTTATGAATCAGTTCTCGAAAAATGGCTTCTTTTTTTCTGTCCTAAGGAACTTTTTCTTGAATATAATCTGATTTGTTCAAAATTCTTTGGTTTTAGTATGTGTTCTTCGACATGAGCACTGATTTGAAATGATTGTTTCCAAAAACTTATTCATTGAGATCGATCACAGAATCACTATAGATTTGCACAAAAAACACTTGCACATCCATTTTTGATTTTAACACAAAACTCGTGTTTACAAACGGACTGTTTGCTCCGAAACGTTTCTCAACAGCATTTAGTTTCATCCATTTTTATACTATGAGTAGAAAGCATGCTCTCTCCGTCACATTCTTTCGATCCGTCGTGCACAGCTGCACTGAGAAAAACTGGTTAATTAAAACGTCTAGTTGGTATTTTTTTAGTACCGGTAATTAAAAATATTTGGAATTTTATTAACAATGACAACGTATCCTCATTTCCAACAAATGACTTTTCTATTTTTCGACAATTATTTGTCATCAATAAAAATACTATTTGTGACAGAATTATCACAGTGTTGTCAATTCAGTCAATTAAAATGTCATATTGGGGTTGAAAAAACTCATTTTGGGGTTACTAACAACAGCTGACTATTTGCCACAACTGATGACACATTTATCGTAAAAGGTTTATTATTATTCATAGCAGAAATTGTTTAGTCATAACTAATAATTTTAGTTGTACTGCGTCGTTCGGGACCGCCTCGCGTCTCTTCGGGACCCACCTGCAAAAATTGCATCTTGCATCTGTTTGTCTTTCTGTTTCATCATTTGAACGTGTATCCTGATAGTGGATAGATCGCACGGTCGTCGAGCTTAGACAAAATAAATAAAATAATTGTCTAGTGTAGCCGGGAGCGTCGTGTTCTTGCTGGTTCACTGCTCTGTGTGTTTTCAAATCACTGTTTCGTGTTTTTTTGCACTTCGCGCTAAGCCATTTGGCATTTGGTTAGCAAAATAATAATTCGCAGTTTACCATCGTTATCTGTGCGTCACTAGTTATCAGGTTTAGGTACCTATTCACAATTCAGTTCAGTTTATGACGAGGTTTATGACGGGCGACGGTGAGAAACGTCCAACCGACGTCATGTGTACACGGTGTATATTTAGAATTCCCTCTCTTTTTGCTGAGCTGTGGCCTGTGGCACTTACGGTGTGTGGTGTATTCCTGTTCACGATTCCATTGGAAATTGGAAGGAAAATGGAATACAATCTATTATTATTAGAATGGGGCCTTGATTTTAATTGATATAAAACTATTAAGTTGCCAGAATAACTGAATTATATTTCAAATGTTACTAAATCACTTTCAATAATAACTAGATTCCATGTCAGTCACAATTAAATATTCAATTTGCAACAACACACTCACTATTAACGTCAGAAGAAATGAGTAATTGCCCCAACTGGGATAATTTGTTGTGATAA